CAACTGAGCCCCAGATTACTGTTGCTAAGCAAAACAATTGTTAAGTGAGTTTTGCCCCATCTTAAGACATTACTTGCCACAACTGTTAAGTGAATCCCTGCAGTTATTAAGTTAGTAACACAGTTATTGAATGAATCTGGTTTCTCCATTGACTTTGCTTGTCAGAAAGTTGCAAAAGGGGATCACATGACCTCAGGATGGTGGAACCATCATAAATATAAATCAGCTGCCAAGAGTCTGAATTTTGATCACATGACCATGGGGATGCTGCAATGGTCGTAAGTGTGAAAAACGGTCATAAGTCACTTTTTTCATGCTGTTGCAACTTTGAGTGGTCACTAAACGAATGGTTGTAAGTCAAAGACTACCTACAATACATTTATATAATACAGTTACTGAATCGAATTCATTTTCTGCTTTGGTACAGTACGTAAATCATAAACTAACAAAATCCCTAACAGATTAGGTTCAGCTACATGGTACAATGAACCGTATCATTAACCAAACTTAATGTGTTGTGCCAGCAGTTAAGTATGGGGTGTAAATTACAGCCGAAAGAAACAAACAGTGGCACCTGGCTATGTTCCCCTCCCCACCTGAGAATTTTGGTCATATGTTCAAATCAGTTGCTACCAACATTGGGTCAAGACAAGAAATGAACACTGTAGGCCAGTGCCGGTAGCAAAATGAGAAAGAGCAGGTTTTGCTTGTCACCCTCCAGATTTTTTTCAAAAGTATAGCACTAGGAGAAAATGGTTTTTAAAATCCTAGTCTGGCTATCTGCCTTCCTGATTTTTTACAATCAGCACTTTGGTTTCGGATTATTTTTGTTTCAGGATTTTCTGCTCTTGAGAAATTGTTCTCAACCTTTATATTATTTGATTGTCCATTACCAAATTCAGGTATTCAGTTTCCTTTTCTTTAACTCTTATTTTTAGAAGGAGAGCAAGCCTAAAAGGGTTCAAATGTATTTCTGCTTCATTGGCAAAAATAATACTGAGGTACAAAGTTTGTAAAATGATAGGGAGGTCTGTATTTTCTCCCTTGTTGAAGGGATGGGAAATTCCCAAGGCAGCCACTAGAGATTTGGTGAGCATCCAGAATAACAGCTTCTATTGCTATCAATCAAAAACCATGTGTAGACAGTTTGTCTTTTCCTCTTTAATGTATATACCAACAAAAACCAGGGTAATTCCACAATTCCACAAAAGAGACTATTTTGCAATAAAAGACTCATCCGGAATGTTTTAAAAATTGTTCCAAAGAGTGGAAATCATACTTAAGAAGACTGCAATGTGTGATCAGGTATTCAACTTTCTCTGCCCCTATGACGTGCCAGGCTTTTGTCTTTCTTTATATGGACAATTACTAGACCCTTGTTCGGAAACAGCCCGATTATAGATCACCAAAGCAATGAAGGGATTGTAAGGACCAGAGGGTGATCTTTCTCTGGTCTTTGTCCTATCCCTCACTTAAGGGAAGACATCTAATTTTGAACTCCATTTCAATCTACCTAAACTGAGAAATGCTGCAAGGAAATATTATCCTGGCAGTGAGAGGCCATGGCTGGCTCAGTCTGAAAGTAGTCCTTGGAGGATATTTCTGGAATAACCCAAATGGCAGTGCCTCCCATCATCAATGCAATGGACTTAGTAGGAACTATACACATACAAAAGCTTTTCTCATCAGCAAAAAACCTATAGTACATTCATTTGGGATGTAACCTGGGCAAATCTCTTCCCTATTTCTAATGAGCCTAGCCATCCTTTTCCTTGTAGATAGGTCTTCATAGATAGAAGATTGTCCAACCAGCAAATATAAGGAGAAGATTGCCTCCATAACAAATGCTTCTGCCCTGGCCAAATTCTGCAAGGGAACCTGGTGCTGGCAGAAACAGGCCACTGAGAATTCAAACTGGCCATGGAGTAGCCAGCCTCATTTCCCCACTCAACCCCCAAATTATAAAATCGATATAAAAAGGTCAAACAGAATCTATTCTTGTGCAAAACTGTAGAAAACTTGTAAAGGAATTGTTTGGGACACATTCCTTCCCCATCCTTTTATTTACAGACCGCTCTTCTAATCTTTTAACAGACAATTGGACTTATATTTAAGAACAGATGTGTCAGTCTTCCTGTAAATGTGTACACCAGTGTGTATTTGCAGTCTATGTAATGTCTTAACAGTGCTTTCTCAATATAGGTCAGGCATTGCATAGAAAGATGCCTTTATGGAAACAGCTGTCTATTCTCTCCTAAAACTCAAGTCAGAGCAATATCCACTAGCTGGAGGGAAGGACCCATGCTATGGCAGCCTCAAATGGCCAATAGTGGGGTAAATGCTAGCCTTGACCTCCCCCTTCCCCCCCTTACAAGTCTCCCATTTAATTATGAGAAACAGGCTATTAAAGCTACTTAAATATCCAGATAGATAGCAGCAAAGGAAAGAAAAAAAATCTGTCGAGTTTTTGTGTCCAGATATGGTAATGCTAATAAAAAAGGCCAAGAATTCCCAATATGTATATGAGATATAGGGGAGACAATAGAAGAAGCTAGGTATGTGTAGGTATGTGTAGAGGAAAAATATAAATAAAATGTGTCAGGGCAGAGAAAATAAATAAAGTTGTGTATTCAGAGGAAAGGATGCTTTAGACTGCATGTAAAGGAAAATGTGCACTGTAATGTTTTGCCTGGGAATACAAGGGCAATTTTTGCTGGAAATGATACTGATTAGCTAGTAACGTTGGAAGAATGGAATATATGAAATATAAAACTACTAATGGGTTCAAAAAATGGGAAAGGAGGACGCCAAGACTGCATATCGTCACCAAGCTATTTAAATTATATATAGAATATTGCACCAGATATGGTAGTGAGACAGAAGAAACAATTTAGGTAGATAGAAGTGAGAAAGAATTAAGAAATTTCTTTCTGAAGAAAAGACAGATGTGCAAAAGCCAACATGTTGCTCATAATCAAACTTCCTAAAACTGTATTGCTTCCTAGTGCCACCATAATGCAAATAGGGCAAATAGTAGAACTGATAATAGACTCTATTTTTCTGGGCTCAAAAGTCCACAAAGACAACACACTACCATCAAGGCCATGGTCTTCTCTGTTACAACATATGGCTGTGAGAGCTGAAGCATCAGAAAAACTGAGCAAATAAAATCAATGTCTTTACACTGGAAGTAATTGTTGACAATATCTTGGACAGCAAGAACAACAAACAGTTTGATACAAGATGGATAAAAACAGATTCTTATTGGAATAATGAAGTTAGATATTTTGGACACATATTGCATAATCCTTTATGACAGGCATGCTTTACTTGGGTACCTTGACTAAGTGACATTGTAGGAAGAGAGCCGTCTTAGTCTAAGATAGTCAAAAATCAGCAAGACACTGGTAGCACCTTTGAATATTAACAATGGAAGTGAGCTGTAATTCACCAAAACTTATGCTTTATAATAAAATGTGATACTTAAAAGATGCTATAGACGATTTCTGATTCTAGGTAGTTTGGAGTTTGATTTGCTGACTTAAATGGTCTTTTGAATTGTGGGACTATATGAAGGCATAGGCTTCCCTTTTCCAATGAGATTGCAACAACTTGAGATAATTTTTCTGTAGATTTCAGAAAAAGAATTAGTATAATAAAATAGGGGAAATTACTGCTTAGTGTAGCAAACCATAAACAAACTGTAAGAACTGAAGTAACATGCAGGATCCAAAATGAGTCAAACCAAGTGAAGGTTTAGAAAAGTATTGGACCACAAACAAAGAGGCAGCCAGTGCCAGATCTTTTATTAGCATTCCCACTGCCATGTTCTGTCTTAATTGACTATGCTGAATCTTCTTTATTAAACACACGCTACACGTTTAACCAGCAAGCAACTAGATCTTGTGTAAAGGAAATAAGACTCTTGCCTTGTTGAACTGCTGCCAGTCTCTCCCTGAACTCACCTCAAATCCCCATATTGCCACATCATTTGATTTTCTCCAAGAAAGTTTAAGAGATCTTATCTACCTTGAGGCAATAATTAAACAATCTCCCATTAACAAGGGGGAATACCAGAATGAATGGCTTAAACCTGCTATGTTCAGACCTGACAACATGTGATATATAGCGCACATCAGGATATTCTGTTAAACATAGGGTTTTTTGGGTGGTGGTGGTGGTGAGCACAGTATGTTAACAAAGCAATTGCATTTTGCTAACCAAAATTTAAGATCGGGATGTGTAAACGCAGCCAAAGAGGAGCAGAGATTTGAAATTAATGGAATGGAATAGATTAGAGAATAGAATAGAATAGAATAGAATAGAATAGAAGAGAAGAGAAGAGAAGAGAAGAGAGTAGATAGAGTAGAATATAGAATAGAATAGAATAGAAGAGAAGAGAAGAGAAGAGAAGAGAAGAGAAGAGAGAAGAGAGTAGATAGAGTAGAATATAGAAGAGAAGAGAAGAGAAGAGAAGAGAGTAGATAGAGAAGAATATAGAATAGAATAGAATAGAATAGAATAGAATAGAATAGAAGCTGGAAGGGACCTTGGAGGTCTTCTAGTCCAGCCCCCTACTCAACCAAGAGACCCTATACACTATTTCAGACAAGTGCGCGATCTGATCTGTTGGATAGCATTTTTTTCTCATTTATATTCTCCACCCTCCCCCAGGTCCCAGCAACGCCAATCCAAAAATCCCCTCCGAGAATGTGCACGGGATTGCTCAGCCTGGAATGCAAAACGAAGAGAAGCTTCTGCCTTTCCGGTGAAAGGGAGAGCGGCGTTTTTCCAGGATTGCGCAAGACTTGGCTCCAGCACAGCACAGAACTGGCGACGATCGGCAGACCGTTTCATCAAATTTTCGGCTCCGCCCCTTTGCTGAATATGGCGGAGTTTTCGAAGTGAGCTCATTCTTGGAATTCCCAGCCGTAGCTCTTCTCTCCTCCCTCTTAGAAACCGCCATATAAGCGAAGGGGACCATGGAGACCGTCACAAGCTTTCCAGGTTCTCTCAGCAGCCAACCCAGCTCCTCCTATCCTCGCCACCATGCGCGCTTCCGCTCAGACGGCCGGTTCTCTCGCGCTGCTGCTGGTGCTGGTGCTGATGCTCGGTTCTTCGATTCTAGGTCAGTTCGGGCAAGTCTGAAAAAAGGGGATCGGGAAAGAAAGGGACGAGGACGGGTCTCTCGCTTTCCTGTTGAGCCCGAGGTGACAGGGCGGAAGAGAAAAACGTGAGCGGGCGGGAGCGGTTGTCCCAAACCACTTTTCTTTCTCCCGTCCCTAAGAAAGGGAAAGTTGCTGGGGAATCTCCCTGTCGAAACAGGCCCACTGTTTGCCTCCCACACTGTTTATTGATCAAACAGTGATTGCAGCCCTGTGGAACTTATTGATCAAAGGCAGGAGGTAACCTTGTCCTCAAGGTAACCTCCTGAGGACAAGGTTACCTTGTCCTCAAGGTAACCTCTTGAGGACAAGGTTACTTAAGGTAACCTTGTCCTCAAGTAACCACCATTCATGCAATGACTGTTCAAAGTTAGGATGGAATTGAAGGAAGGGGCTTATGACCAGTCCTCGAAGTGAGATAAGACTTTCTGATAAGCGTTTTTACATAATGAAAGGAAAAACCTTTGGAAGCACTGATACAGAGTGTCTATCATTGCGGAATAATTAGTCCTCTTCTTCCATTTATTTTGGAGTTCCAGGGCTCCAGAGTAAAAAACAAAAACAAAAAACCGAATTTTTGGCAAGCACAAGCCTTACTGTCTTCTACTGTATTTCAGAAATCAAAAATTGCTCTTCCACTTACTTGTGTTTTCATCTCCTCTCTTAGCAACTGATCCCCCAACCTCCTGCTGCTTCAGCTACACAAAAAAGAGGATTCCACGTACTCACGTGATCGATTTCTATGAAACAAATAGCAGATGTTCTCAGCCAGCTGTTGTGTAAGTATCACTTCCAAAGCAGTTTCAACTATCGGGCATAGAGCATAGAGGTATAGTGAGAACGGGCTAAAGCACCCTCATAGATCTACCGCCACTACTTCTTTGTATCTGTACCTGCTAGAGCAAAGATGGTTAACATAATCCAAGTGCTGCAGATAACTTCCAAATCCTCCAGAAATTTGATCATTGACATTTAGTGGCAAAATGCTGATGGAGTGGCAAAGAGCTCTATTACGGTCTTGCAACAAAAACCATGAAGAGTTTTATTATTTAATTATTATATTTATATACTGCTGTAATCAACCCCCATTTTTCTGCCCATAGGTCAGTAAAAGAGCTAAGCCTCTAAAACAAATGAAAAACAAAAGCAATAAATAAAACTAAAAGTATTATTCATAGAAGCCAAAAATTTGGCTTAAGAGGGTGTTCTTTAACTTTTTTTCTGAAAGTGAAAAGAAAGTGCATCCCATGAGAACAATACTGAGTAATTAATTTTCACATAAGCTTTTCTAAATAACCATACTTTTTACTGGATGTATAAAATATAGTTCCTACTATTTTGGTAAGGGCGGGAAGAGTATTAAAAAGAGAGATAAGACAGTATTATCTAGAAATCTTGGCCAATAATAAAGCAGATATAATAAGACATTTCTTTCATTGGTCTATATTAATATATTAATAGGGTTTGCACATTGGGGAAATCATACAATGGATACAAATTCATACAGTGTCTGACATACAAATTCATATAGTGCTAGCTTACTTTATTTTGAAAACCAAGTAACTGGTTTATTTTAAACATGGCTAAAACACTCCTAGTTTACTGCTTTATGTAAATCAAGTGGGGTGATAAAAAAAACTTTGGCCTTTTTTAAGTGTGAGAAATGTTACTACATTTTCTAATGTATCTTCTTCAAAATGGCGCTCTCCAGAAGTATGGACTTCAACCATCAGAATGGCCAGAGTAACCATTATGGCGAAGCATGGGAATTCTGGGGGGTCAAATCAATATAGCTGAGGATCCCCAAATTGGGGAAGCCCATCCTAATGAAATTATGTAATTTGCAGTATTTCAGGGAGGAGGTCAAGTTTTCCAGATTAAGGTTTGAGGACTAGGTGCTTGAAACCATATACACCATCTTCCATGCTCAGCATAATTGCTACATGGAATAACTTAAGGGAAAACAGAAAGTCTTGGAAATTAGAGTTCAGGTGAAGCAGAATACGTGATTTTTAAAAAAGCCAGTGGAAAGCAGTACAATTAGGTGTGAAAACAAAATTGGAAGGTATAATTTTTGTTATTCTTATTATTCCCTCCAGGTTCATCTCACGGAAAAAACTGCAGATTTGTGCCAATCCCTTAGAGAAGTGGGTCCAAGATCATATGAATTACTTGAAAGTGAACAGAACAGTGCATGCAACTGTGGCAAATTAGCAGAGATGAAAGCCCAAGGGCACAACAGGACTGCCTACATTCTTACTTAATCAAGCAATTCTCTAGGTGCAACTGCACTTTAATCTCAGGAATTTATTTTAAAGTATTTAAAGTATTTTATTTGGGGAATGAATATTCACTCCTACTAATTATTTTATTTATGAAACAAGTACAAGATAAAGAACTTTTTATATGTTTGTATGTTTGTGTGTTATAATATGCATCAAAGCAAAAAAAATGTGTTAATAAATATTTTTCTACTAATATTATCTCTAAAGACTTATTTCCTTCCCCCCACCCTCCACAAATTGTGGAAAAATTCTGCCTGAATACTTTCAAAATCTTAATGATATATAAGCTCTCACACTCTGTACATGTTCACATTCCATTTTAGACCTTAGTTATATTTTATAGTTATAATTAATAGCTTAATTAATTAATTAATTGGATACTATTCTGTATGTTCCTAGCATACAACAGCAATTTTCAATAGGACTTAGACTTATATACTGCTCCATAATGCTTTACAGCACTCTCTGAATGGTTTACAATGTCAGCATATTGCCCTCAACAATCTGGGTCCTCGTTTTACCAACCTTGGAAGGATGGAAGGCTGAGTCAAACTTGAACCAGTCAGGATCGAACTCCAGACTGTGGGCAGAGTCAGCCTGCAATACTGCATTCTAACTACTGCGCCACCGTGCTAGTATTCTGAAGATACACTCAGATATCTTTTTATTCCCAGCAGCTAACTTTACATATAGCCTAGGTCAGTGATGGCGAACCTTTTAGAGACTAAGTGCCCAAAGTGCAACCCAAAACCCACTTATTTATTGCTGGGTGCCAGGTGGATGTGGCCAAGGTGGGCATGGTCACCTCGATGTTGCTCGTTGGGAGAGACGCCTGTGGGGGCTGGGCAGGGTTGGGGAAGATCCAGGGGGTCTCTGGCAGGTGGGGTGGTGGGTAGGAGGCTCGTCCTGCGGGGTGAGGCGAGGCAGGGTGGGGGTGCCATTATCTCAGGGCAAAACAAGGCTGGGGTCAGCGAGTGCATGGGGGCCGACAGTGTCCATCAGCATCCACAGCCTGCCGGCCCCTTTACCAGTGCACTCTGGGGCTCTGCAGCCTGCCACCAGCAGTTCAGAGAAGTGCCCACAGAGAGGGCTCTGAGTGCCGCCTCTGGGACGCGTGCCATAGGTTTGCCACCACTGGCCTAGGTAATTGAAGTTTGAAAATTAAACATAAAAACTTGCAAAATGTACATAAAGTAGTCTGCAACTTAAAATCATTTAGCGACTGTTCAAAGTTACAATGGCATTGAAAAAAGTGACTTATAACCATTTTTTGCATTTATAATCATCAGAGCATTCCCCACGATCACATGATCAAAATTCAGGTGCTTGGCAAATGTATTTACGATGGTTGTGGTGGGTAACATCTTTATTATATTAAATCATTTGACATAACAGAAGTCATTGAAGAAGCTTTCAGGTTCTCCAGAGCAGCATCAGATTTATGTATTTTAACAATTTCTATCAATTAATAAAAAACAGAATAACAAAATAACAAGAGTGTTGGAAGGGACCTTGGAGGTCTTCTAGCCCAAGCCCCAACTCAAGCAGGAGACCCTATACCACTTCAGACAAATGGCTGTCCAATTTCTTCTTTAAAACCTTCAGTGATGGAGCATCCACAACTTCTGAAGGCAAGGCATTCCACTGGTTAACTGTTCTCACTGTCAGGAAATTTCTTCTTAGTTCTACGTTGCTTCTCTCCTTGACTAGTTTCCAATAATGCCACAAATAATGATAACTCTTAAAAGAACAGTAACATTTTAAGTAGTCTCCTGCCAATAGTTTCAGAAGGCAAGGCATACATTTGCACAATTTTTGGTAAGGTGACTAAGGGGGCAGCATATTATAGAGTTGGTACAGCAACAGGGAGGGTGTTGCTCCTGGGCCCTGGCACCCTTCTCCTCCTAGACCAGGGGCCTTCAAACTTGGCCCTTTTATGACTTGTGGACTTCAACTCCCAGAATTCCTCAGCCAGGCACACTGGCTGAGGAATTCTGGGAGTTGAAGTCCACAAGTCATAAAAGGGCCACATTTGAAGGCCCCTGTCCTAGACTGAGGGAATCTGGGACGTCTCTTAGCAGAACAGACATGTTAGCCAGAGTCAACTTGAAGGAGACAGTCCCATAGAAACCTGGTCTCTTCTCTTGCTCTATAGGTCTTTATACTTGAACTACCTCGAATTGTATTTGGAAACCTATTGGAAGCCTATGCAGCATTCACAAAAAGTATGTTATATTGTTGAATTGGTTTGCACAATGCAAGCCGTTATATTTTGTACCAACTCCACTTTCTGGGCAGTATTCAAGAGCAACCCAATATAAAGTATCTTGCAATAATGCAATTGTAAAGCAATGATGGCCCCCTGCACAAAAATGGGCACGGATGAGCATTAGCAAACCCCTGAGGACAACTTCCAACTGCTGATCTAAGTGGAGCTGCCCATCCAGGAGCAAACAAGTTGTAGATCTGCTCTTTGGAGAAAGTGTGTGACCCTCCCACAGCCAATCACCAGTCAAGATTTCATTTAGCTTCAACTTTTAGCTTCATCTTGTTTGTACCAACCAGATCCTTGCAGTTTCCAATTGATAAGGACTTTTGCTGGATCTCCTGTTTGATTCTGGATGGAAATGATTAAGAGTTTTGAAATTTTCTTGGTTCATAGCATTCTTCCTGGTATCTCTGTATGCTGGGGTGCCCTGAGGCAGCATAGCAAACTCACAAACAGTTGAGCTCCATTTATTAAGTAGTAAAATATCCCACAGCATCCCTATGACTTTGCCCGGGGCATTGCAGCACAGAGTTTGGGAACTATACGTATAGCCTATCAGCATATTGATGACACTTCGCCCTGAACCAAGGATGAACCTCCTGAGGAGGTTCATGTAGATGTTAAATAGGTGTGACATATAATGAGAAAAGGAGCAAGAATTTCCCTGTTCAACTTCCACCCCCAAAATTTGCATATCAAACTAAAATAAGTTAAAGATGCTGAAGCAAAGTCTTAATTACTATGAAGCAGACATCACTTTCAATACTATATTAACTTATCTGAAAACAACTTGTAGCAATTTGTAAAGAATTCTTTCCAGAAATGAAGGCAACAGGTTAAAAAGGATAGTTAAGAAGGATAGTTAAGATTGCTTAAGTGATGACACTAGTTGCATCTAAGTTGATGCGACAAAGAAACACACACACAACATTTAATCTGGCAATTGAATTAATTCATTTTATTGGCTAAATAAAACACCGGACCTTAAATAAAAAGTTGAGATTTGCTGGTGAGTCTAAGATACACATGTATACACACATTGACAGGTTTAGAGCTAAGCTTTGCACATCGGGATTTTTCAAACTTTGTAACTTTAAGACATGTGGACCAACTCTCAGAATTCTCTAGCAAGGGAATTTGGGGAATTGAAGTTCACACATCTTAAAGTTGCCAAGTTTGGAAAACACTAATATAAATGTATCTGCTTTATGATTCTGAACATGTCCAATAACTAATTACCCACTATATGGAACTCTAAAAGCTACATGTGTTTCCAGGCATAAGTAAAATACAAACGTTCCTTATTAGATAGAAAACACAAAGGGAAACTTACTGGGATGAAGCAGGATTTCAGAAGGGATACAGTCCATAGGAAGCTTTTTGTAGGAGCTTTTTTATTAGAAGCTCATTTTCAAACTAGATGAACAAGATGGATTATGAAATGAAATGGTATGGTTAAATGTCTATGGAAATTCTCACTCATCCGGATCACGGTTGTCCCAAAGTGCTTTTTCAAAAGGCAGCTAGACTTTGTTTTTCCTTGAAGAAACTTCCTTTTCACTTCTCATCCAAGAAGCTTCCTCAGTTCTTAGACTTATATACTGCCCTATAGAACTGGAGAAGCTTCTTGGATGAGAAGCAAAATATTTTCAAGGAAAAACAAAGTCCAGTTGCCTTTTGAAAAAGGCACCTTTGGGATGATATGGTTAACTTTTTGTCAGAGTAAAAAGTAATGTTTATGAGTGTGTGGTGATGGTGGGTAATTATTTGATTGGAACTACAAAATAAAAATAATACCTATAGTTTAGTTCCATGTTCTTTCTAAGAAAAAATAAGGCAAAGAAGGCATATTGATCCTCAGCAAAACATACACCTAATAAATTACAAGAGCACCACCATGTGGTTATGTTTGCTGAGAAATCTTCAGGCTGGTTAGTCTGGTATAAGTAACATTTGTCTTTAGCCAACCAGAATTTATTATCTTAACATTTCCTATATCCTCATAATCTTCTTTAATCTTCTCATGTTTCAGAACTGGAATCATCTTTCCCAATGTCCCAACCATCAAATTTCCTTGTTCTCCCCATGAGAATTAATTAACTTGAACAAAGCTAATAAGTAGCCGAACAGATCCATATTCCTCTCTTATTTAGTTCCCTTATGAAATATGTATGTCTGAATCCCCTTCATTAGCTAAATTATCTCCCCAAAAAACCTGACCATGCGTTAAAAATTCATCCTTGCTTGACAATTTAAAACATGTTAAGTATTAAGGACAAAATTCTAGGTTCATAAGACCAACACAAAAACCATTGTAAATCTCCATCATGTGGTCACAGGATGATACAAATGGCCATGAATGCAGACCAGCTGCTAAGAGCCCCGTTGCAATAATGTGACTGGGGGGGGGGGGNTCTCTCCTTGACTAGTTTCCAATAATGCCACAAATAATGATAACTCTTAAAAGAACAGTAACATTTTAAGTAGTCTCCTGCCAATAGTTTCAGAAGGCAAGGCATACATTTGCACAATTTTTGGTAAGGTGACTAAGGGGGCAGCATATTATAGAGTTGGTACAGCAACAGGGAGGGTGTTGCTCCTGGGCCCTGGCACTCTTCTCCTCCTAGACCAGGGGCCTTCAAACTTGGCCCTTTTATGACTTGTGGACTTCAACTCCCAGAATTCCTCAGCCAGGCACACTGGCTGAGGAATTCTGGGAGTTGAAGTCCACAAGTCATAAAAGGGCCACATTTGAAGGCCCCTGTCCTAGACTGAGGGAATCTGGGACGTCTCTTAGCAGAACAGACATGTTAGCCAGAGTCAACTTGAAGGAGACAGTCCCATAGAAACCTGGTCTCTTCTCTTGCTCTATA